TACCGTTCTTACCCTTAACCTAACGTTACGTTACCGTACGTAAGTAGTAGTTTTAGTTTTAGTTAGTTGTACCTCGTCGTCGTTGGTAGGTGGTGTGTGTGTGTGTGTGTGTGTGTGTGTGTGTGTGTGTGTGTGTGTGTGTGTGTGTGTGTGTGTGTTGGGGGGTGGAGGAGGTTATGATTATATGCATTACACAGGCAGGAAACTTGGGGCACAGGACAAAATACAGAATTTTCCACAGCCGCAGTTAAAACCCTTCTGGGTCCCTCCATGTCCTAATCCAGGGTACTTCCAGCTGTTATTTCTCCCATCTACCAGGGGTGGCTGTGAGGTAGAGATTGATCAGAAACAATTTTGCTTGAATTTACTTTTGAAAAATTCAAAACTTACAGAGGTGGAGACACTTGAATAAAGAAGGCCCTCTACTCATCACTCGCCCCCTCCCCTGCCCCTTTCTCTTTAGCTCATTTTGAAATAAATCCCTTGCATCCTGTTTCATCTGTAAATATTTTCGTATCTAACTCTAAAGTAGACCCCTTTAAAAAACTTAGTATCATTATCACATCTAAAAACAAATAATGATTCCTTAATATCATCTGGTATCCAGCAGCATTAAAATTTCCCTGAATTTTATACAGGTGGAGATAAACTCTTCACCTTTTGAGGCTATACACTTATTCCAGCGATGCTATCATTGCTTGAAATAATTTTTGGACCCTGTATTTAGGTTGTCACTGGGATTGGCACCATATCTTTTGTAAACCCTTACAGATGGTAAAGTTTTATCTTTTGAGAGTGGACTTACTTCTGGCATAAGCCAGAAGTCAAGAATAAGCCTCAAGAATAAGATGGCTAATTGGTAAATAATATTATTTGTTCTATTTGATTATTTGATTCTCCTATTCCTTAAAAACTTAGATCCACTGTTTTGTAGTTACACATCTGATGTTTTAAAACTTAAAGTCAAGTATGATGTTAAAAATCAAACAGGAATCAGCTTTTGTGCTGAGCAGGGTCATGGAGGCCCCCCTGCTGGACTGGAGTGATTTTTTTACTTGATGGACCATGAACAGTAGGGGACAGTCAAGGCAGCAACTAGTTAGCAGCAGGCACAGAAGTGTTTCAATATTTTAACAACCAACATGGCTTGACTGGGCACCTGCTAATGGCCATGAGTCACGTGAGAGGCTGTTTGCGTTCAAGGGAAATATTCAAAGGGAGGCCCTGGCTTCTTTTCCAGGCCAAAGTTCTTCAGTGGAGAATGTGCCTGTGAGAGGTTTGGGTTAGATAAGATGAAGAATCATGCCTTCAGCAATTGAATGGGCTTTCTTTATGTGACAGAACACCTTGTGATTGGAAAGCCCTTTATAGAAACGTACTTTCTCGTCCATCATCCCAGAGGAGTTAAGAACTGCACCTAACACCAGTGATAAAAATGGCACTGGAACTCACATCTCTGGAGTCTAAATGGAGG